AACGCCCCACGCCCGTTCCAGGAGCCCGGGGAGCGGCGTCCATACGTGCAATGCGCGGTGGTTAACACCGGCATCTCTGGAAAACCCTGTTTTCCTGTCTGAGCCCACCCCTTGGGTAAACCAGGAAACACTGAGCCTGCCAAGCAGAAAAGCTCCGCTGCACCGTTCACCCACGACTGCTCCGGAACGTGCCACGCGGCGCGGCAGCCCGGAGAGGGGAAAGCTTGAAAATCCCGAATTCATGAGCGGGTGCAGACCAGAACCCGCACGTCCGGCGTCGGAGCGCGGCTCCCGCTGCCCCTCGCCTGCGCGGCAATCCCAGGCAGGGTTCACAGGGCGCCAGCCGGTCAGCACCGACTCTGCGAGTGCCCAGGAGGAAGGTTTCCAGGCGGGGAGCCAGGAAAAGCGGCAGCACCATCCCGCAGCCATTTGTGGCAGCGTCGTCATCCCCTGGTTCCGCGGCACAAGATGGCTACACCCCCGAGTTCCCGGAGAAGCTCTCGCTTGAGCTGCAAAGGCCAGAGCCTCCACGGCAGAGAGGGCGAAAGGACGAGGGCTCCTGCCCCGTGAGCAGCGGAAAAGGGCAAAAAGGCTGATTTCCTTCCTTCCTTTTTCGGTTTTAGAGGCGCTGCCTGCCCTTCTTGCCCACGGATCTGCCTTCTCCAAGTGCTCACAACCTGTTCAAGCAAGCAACGTTTAAGCAAGGCAGAATATTCCTTGTGAACGTCGTGGGACTTCACTTTCTTCTCCTGACCGACCCGGGACCAACCGCCCCAGGAGACGGCAGCAGCCAGACCCGGCCGGAGGACAGACGGACACACTTCCCTGTGCTTCCAGCTGGAGAGGACCCCAGACAGCAAACCCCGTGGTCCTGTGATCCCAGCACTGACCAGAGGATCCCAAGTGGAACAAGGGGCGCTCTCGGATACGGATCAGGGAAAGCTCTCGACCACTCCCACACCTGGGTGCGGAGGAAGCAACGCGCACCCCGGGGAGCGAATCCTTCTTGTGTCCTGGCTGCCTGCACCCAGGGGAGCTCGAGAGTTGCGGGGCTACGGAAGCATCAGCCCGTACGCCAGCCCCGCAGGAAGCGGCTGCGATTCCGGAGCAGCCCGGGGGCAGGGGCAAAGCTGCCCCGCCGGGGGCAAGGCCGCACGGAGACCACGCTGAGGGAACTGCGGGCAGTAGCTGCCCCACACGGAGGGCAGAGACGTCAGCCCCAGGCAGCAGAGCGAGGGCTGGGACAAAAGTCCGACCGAGAGCCATGAGCCGGCTCATCTCCCTCGCGCAGCCTGCCCGCTGCTCACGGAGCTTTAGTCGAGCGCATTTTTCAGCTGAGATCAGTTACTCTCCACAGTTTCTAAGCAACGTTTATGCACACCATCAGGCGGGAGTGGTGTATCGCTAGAAAACTCCCTAAAGACTCCGTGCTGTCAGAGCACTCCTGCTGCAGGGCAGTTACACATTTACAGAGAGTTAACAGCCTACAGTTTACAGCAGTTACACAGAGATCTGTGGTCTCTGCACTTCTGAACATTCACAGAGTCACAGAATGGTTTGGGTTGGGAGGCACCTTAAAGATCATCCAGTTCCAACCACCCTGCCATGGGCAGGGACACCTTCCACTAGCCCAGGTTGCTCCAAGCCTCATCCAGCCTGGCCTTGGACACTTCCAGGGATGGGGCATCCACAGCTTCTCTGGGCAACCTGTCCCAGTGCTCCCACCCTCTGTGGGAAGAATTCCTTCCTGATGTCCCATCTCCATCTCCCTCTTTAAACCCGTCACCCCTTGTCCTGTCACTCCCTGCCCTTGGGAAAAGTCCCCCCCCAGCTTCCTTGTAGCCCCCCCAGGCACTGGAAGGGGCTCTGAGGTCTCCCCAGAGCTTCCCTTCTCCAGGCTGAACCTCCCAACTCTCCCAGCCTTTGCCCACGGCAGAGGGGCTCCAGCCTGATCCTGGCTCAGTATCACCCACCACCCCAATTTTATGGCCTTCTCTTTCCTGTGAAAGGGCCAACACGATTTCCTGGAAGATGGCAGCTCTGCACTCCAGGTGACACAATTTTCTGGCTTTGGAAAGTTCCAGTAACTCACCAGTGCAAGCGGAGAGCATGGAGAAACGCCGACAGTCCCTCCATGACCAGGAGAATGGCCACTGTCAGGGTGGCGAAAGCAGCAAATATGAAGAAGAGGCCAAAGCCTCCGCCCAGACTCCGCACGCTGAGGCCGACGTGGATCACCATGGTCCAGAGCACCTCCGAGAGCTCTGCCGGGGGACAGGAGAGGGGGAGGGCTCGTTTCCAAACATTCAGCCAGAACGGGAAGTTGTTACAGTTGACTTACAAGCAAAACTCCCCGTAGGGAGGTGGGAAACTTGGGAGGGACAGCAGCTCCGCGCGCGGGGTGCCGTCGCACGCGCAGGGCAGGGTCCTCGCTCAGCGGCAATTTGCTGCGTTCGGCGCTTTCGGCCCCGATCCCCGCTCCTAGGCCCGGGCAGCTCCTGGCAGAGCGCAAGCGAGCACCCCCAGCTAACGCACGCGCAGCCTTGCCCTTCGCCAGCGTCCCAGAGGGCAGCTCCGGGGAGGCTCCAGGCGCTCCTGCCTCCCACCCATGGCCCCGGCCCCGCATTCCGCAGGGGATACTCACGTGCGTGGGCTAAGCTGAGCGCCCAGAGGCGCAGGTAGGAGGCGGTGTTGGAGATGCAGCCCAGGCAGTACTCGATGGTGTGGATAGCCTGGTACACCACGGTATCGCCGAAGTCGAACTGCGGAGGGAACAGAGCGGTGAGCGCCGCGAGCCCAGCTGCGTGAGGCAAGCAAGCCACGGCCCGGTACAGGACGTGGCGTTTGAGGTCAGACTGGGCTGTCTCCTCCTGGTTTAGCGCGGCAGTTTTGCGTGAAAAACGAGTTCTCTCGCCTTGCTAGGTTGCGTGGAACGACAGCTGGCTGCTGCAGCGCGAGCAGCACTGTTGTCACACACGGCCAGTCGTGCCAAAACAAGGGGTTTCACACTCAGCCAACGGCTTTGCCAGGAAAAGAGAGTTCAGCAGCAACACGGGGCTCGTGATTCACTGGGAAATGGTATGTACCTCCACGAAACGGAGACGGCGCTCCCAGGCGCTACTGCGCGCGCACCTTCGCGACGGGATCGACCGGAACCTTTTGCAAGGTGCGAACTCGCCCTTTTCGCCGGCAAAAACAACACGCCAAGCAACCTTGGGAAGTCACATCCGCGCGCCGTTCCCCGGCACGGGCGCTGGGCCCTGGGGACTTTTTTGTTTGGTTGGAAATAATAAAAGAAGAACTTATAAGGAAGTCTGCAGTGTGGGACAGTTTGGCAGCTTGGGAAAGCATTCCCTGCGTTTTGGATGTAATCCATGCTTGGGAAACTGCTCATATTTAAGCGAAGCGAACACGAGGTCTCAAATACATCAAGTGACTAATGCTCCAAGCATGCACAGGGAGCTATTTATGTTCTTCTTCCTCCCCCGGCGTACCCAGGGCAGCAAATATGTCACGCAGTTCGGTCAGATTAGCTGTCAAAAGCCCAATTCCTTCTCCACCGAACGCGAACGGCACAGCCGTTGGACAAAGCCTGCCCCCGCGAGCCGTGCCCCGTCCCGACAGGCGACACGCGATGGGTGTTTGGCAGTGACGAGCTGCCGGCAGGCGGGACTGCGGCGTGGGACAATCCGCAGGATCGCTCGGCACAGCACGTGTAGGTCCGCAGGCTCAGGGAAGCAGCGACTTCCCAGCTACGCCCGTGCGCTCTTTCCGCGCCCCCCTCCATTCCAGATGGGCCTAGGCGTAGCAGATCTCTGAGCAAAACCACTCTCAGCCCGGTGGACAGCAGCACCATTGCTGCGGAGCTCTAATTTCATGGCATTTATAGACTTTTAACAAAACTGGTTACTCGATAGCGCTGAAACCTGTGGGATATTCCTAAAAACCATTCCTCGAACCCTCATCCTCGCTACAAGTGCTGAGGGACAGGCAGTTTCCCAGAACAGGGTGTTCCTTTTACAGAAAGACGCTGGGTGGTTGGGTTGTTGACCTGTGGGAAACTGGACTGGTTTTTCCCACACTTGCTGGCTGGCAACACCCAGTATCACCCTTAAAACTGCAGATGCTTTGGGAAAAAAAAAAATCCCTCGACAGAGTTTGCTGCCGTGCAGAACTACCAAAGAGACAGCCTAAGGGAAACCAGGTTTCTTCTGCAGAAGTTTAACAGCAAAACCTTTCCCCTTTCAGACTTCCAGCCCAAAACCAGCTTTCCAGGTAAACTAAGGAAGATCTGCAGACAGGGGGCGAGACAAACAAGCCGTGTAGATGAAGTAATTAAAAGTCTATTAATGAGCGGGGATGTATGAAGAATTAAAAATGGCCTGTAACATGGAAATAGCTGGATCTTTTGGGGAACGAGATGTGACACAAGACGTTTAGTTCAGCGCGTTTTACACCCATGGGAAATGGCCCAGATGCACCCGAACGCAAAGCCGGCTGTAATCTTACCACCTCGTCCTCCGTAGGCTTGAAAACACAAGTTGACATTTAGTGCAGCGTCTCGATCACAACATTAATCATCATCACATTCAATGATCCCCTCCTAATGGTGACACAGCGACACGCCTCAGGCCTCACCGAGGCGGGACACGGCTGAGGAGCTGTTCAGAGGCATCAGAACACTCCCAGACCACGCGAGGTCGACTCCTTTTGCTTCTCTACCGGCGGTAAGGTAAGCAATTAATACTACCCCCAACGGCCAAACTGAACACAGGAGGAGGATTTGGCTGCTGTGGACACACAGCCCTTGGATTTCCCTGGAGAAGCAGGGCACGGCCCCTCGGCCAGGGCCTAAGCGGCACGTGCCACCCAGGAGCACCGTGCAACTCCCCCTGCGTGGCCCGTACGCTGATGGTTGTTTTTAAGGGGGACAAAGAGAGCCACGTCTCCCTTTATATGCAAATCCTACTGCTTTTTCTGGAGTGCTGGGTATGCCCAAGAGACTGAAAATGCTGCTATTTGAACAGCTCGGAAATCAGTAAATGCCATCAGAACCCCGGCACGTTCTGCGGGCAAACGCGCTGCCCCGGGAGCGGGGCTGCTCGGTGCTCACCTCTTCACCCTCCTCGGAGTGGGTCGAGAGCTGGTCGTGCTGAATGATCTCAGCATCCTCCTCAGTCGGTCCGTTGCCCACCCGGATCCCACCGAAGTTGTGCGTGCCCTAACACAGGCAGAGACAGACAGAGCAGAGTGTTGTTGGTGTTTTACTGCCAGGACACGCTTCTCACGACTCCACGTGCAGCAGCAGCTCACAGAAGGAAACGAAATATTAAGTATTAAGGCCCAGGTTAAGCCACCTGGACAACTCTATTTCCCAGCTTGGATGGGAAGGAAAAAAAAAGGGCTGGGGAAAAAAGTCTGTCTGCGTGAGTGATCGGTACATGTCTACGGAGCAATTGCAACCCTAAGTACAAGGAAAAGCACGTCCCTCAAGGCCACTGGCTGGCACCGCCGCGTTGCTGGACGCACACCGACACAACGGGAGCAGTCACACCGTGACACCCAAAGCAGGATGGACTGACACACACACACGCCGGCTCCCCGCGAGCGTCAGGCGCACCACCACGCGTGGGAAATCAGACCTGCCCTCGCTTGGGAACTCCGCACGCAGCCCCTTTCACAGGCATCGGTTCTGACATTCCCACCAGTCGGGAGTTGCTCTCACTTGCCACCTGCACGGCCAACATCTGATTTCTGGCAGGCTTCCTCCTCCGCTGTCCTACCGCCGAGGGATGCACAGACGCCGGCATCCCCCGACAGGGCCCTCACGCAGAGCTTTCACCCTTCGCAAACACGTTCGGACAGCCAAGGCGTAACCTGCATGCCAGGCTCCCTCGACCTCTGCTCAGCAGGCAGCTCTGAGCAGGATTTCTGTGTCCCCATGGATGCTCCAAAGAGAGAAAACGCTCGTCACTGGTCCGAGGGACCCTAAATTCAGACCCGAGTCTGACCCATCCGGAGAGGCCAACCGGAATGCCACGAATGGGAAGAAAATCCTGCCCTGAGCTGTAGCACTGGGGTCATCTGCGACACGGAAGGGACTGGGCTAAGGCTCCACGAGCTCCGGGGTGACTGCGAACCCAGGAGGCGCAGGGTCCCGTCGCCATCCACCGCGCATCGCTCCGGCAGACCAGCGGAACAGCCGCTGGACGCTCTTTGAACTGATTTGGGCTTGGAAGCCTGCTTTTGGTTTAGGCTGGACTGTAAATAGGCTCAGAACGCCTGATGGGAATTACAGATTTCTGCCAGGTTGCTAAAACCCAACGAGGGGGATGGTCGTGCTCTGAAAACAGAAGCATAATTTAAGAATATATGCTTATCAGTAAGACAACGCCTTTTTAGGACTTTTAGCATGTCTGAAACATCACAAGCCCCCGAAGAGCAGCGTCAGCGTTCTGTTTGTTGTTTCCAGCCTGCGTGAACTTGCACTTTTGCAGCTTTTCCCCCGCCCCCACCTTGTATCCATTCCCTGTAACCGTCCCACCTAAACCGGGCCGCCACGACTCTCACCGTTCGCTTTACACCTGCAACCACAGCTCACCCCCCCTTCCCTCGCAGCGCCTCGCACTGAGCTGCGCTTACTACGCCGGGGGGACCACGCGCAAAGATCCCTTTGATCTCCGACGCTTCCGCGAGGCTGTTCAAGATGTCACGAGAGGAAACTCCGGCCAACGGCTAAAGCATGCCTCTGACACGTGGAACCCGCCACGAGGAACACGCCACTGGCAGCTAAAACCGAGTGCGATACTGGGGAGGAGGAAGGCTCTGGGAGCTGCTACAACCTTCACTCGCCCGGGAGGGTTGAGCAGCAAGGGGCCGTCTGTGGGCTTAGACACTAATTAGTAACAAACCCCGCGCCCGAGGGGCTCGATTGCGCACGACGGTTTCACGTCCAAGCGTCTCCGGGGGCACAAGGGTGAAAGCCAGGGACGCCGGAGGGAAGCCATCACGAACATGGTGTGTGGGAACACGGGATGCAAGCAGAAACGCTTCGCTGAGGATCCTGATCTACCTTAAACAGACACGCAAGAGAAGGAAAAAAGGGGAACTTAACCTGGGGGATGTGGTAGCAAGGAATTCCCGTGCTGCTCTGCAGGCTGTGATTTCAGCAGCACTCCCGCAGAGAAGCGTCTCTGCCCTCTGTGCCGACACAACTATTATCCGTCAGCCTGGTACTTCTTCCAGAATGTATCAATTGTGCTGAGCCTCGCTCTTTTCCAGGAGGCTTTTCACCCTAAAGGTGCAGTTGTCATTCCCTTACGAGATTCAGATACATTCCGTGCTCCCTTGGTAATTAGATAGAAAGCCAACTCCCATCTTTAAATCCATCAGGTGATTTTTAAATCCACTCACTGTCGCAGCCGCTGCTGCCTCTAGTGCCTGCGGGCTCGGGAGTGTGCTGACCTGGGCCTCCACGGGCTGCCCTTCCTGATGGCGAACGGAAGAAAAGAAAGGGAGGAGGAAGAAAACAAAAAGAGAAGGGGAGACGAATGGAGGGGACATGGGAGGATGAAAGATGGTCAGAGAAGGGAGAGGGAGTGTCTTTCACTGAACTGAGCTTTGACTCAGCATCCTAACAGCTGTCTGCCATACATGCAGGGAGAATTTTCAAGTATCCTCAGTGCACGTGTGCCAGGTTCCTGCATTTCACATAAAGATACTTTACAGTACAGCTGGAAACCTAGAGAGTACCCCAGCAGACCACCTCTCACAAAAAGACTATGTTTTTTCCCTTCTAATCGTTATTTTTCACCATCCAAATGGCGTTAAATGTGGCTGAGGAGTCTGCCGGCCGGTTCAGCTCACGCCTCTGCTCCTACGCTGTCAGCCTAGCCAAGGCACACGAGTGCACCCCGTGCTCCCAAACCCGCCGACAAAGCCCAAGCCAGACACGCTGCTTTCCTCGCTGCCGCTGCACAGGGATTTTAAAGGCGGATTTTAAAGGGTCCCGATCTGAGAAGCGGGCGGGCAGTGCTTTGTCTGCAGTAAAACCCACCTGCCTTTCTGCCCAGGACTATGCAAAAAACACCCCCGTTTTACAGGTCACAAGGCAGCGTGAGCCTGCGCATCCAAGAACGCAGCTTTTCAAACGTAATGAGTTTTCAGATTGAGAACGGAAGAGGGAGTCACCCACCAAGTGCTTTCTCCTCAAATACTGATGGCGAAGGACCAGGGGCTTAGCTACCAGCATCCAGGGCACGCACAGCAACGCCACCACCACGAGGAAACACTGGAGCCCTTGCTGTAAGAGAAACAGGTCTCAGATGATCCAGAGGCAGTTCCTGCCCAGACACACAACACCCAGCAAGAGGTCTCACGTAACACCCCACGACTGAACTCCCAGGGTACGTGCGCGCTTCGCTCTCTGTCCCTGAACAGCAAGATGTGCCGTACGCAACGCCTGCGTGCAGCTGCCCCATCCATCCCCCATGGAATGCTGGTACGGGTTTAGACTAAGGAGAAATCCCAAAGATTCTGCAGGGGCAGTGTGGCAGATATCCAACAGCGCCGAGATGAAACGGCGCTGGTGTCTTAGCCAAGCTCAGAGGCAGCACCGCGCAGCCCAATACTCCTAAACACCTTCCACTATTAGTCTGGATCCAAATTTCCTGGACCTACGGCTGACTTGGGTTCAGACTGACATAAACTGACATAAACTTGGGTTCAGACTGACATAAACTCCCAGTATCGGGACTACTCCTTCCTTTTCCAACATGACACAGTGTCAGGCTTTGGAAATGACGCCCCGTTTCCTCTACCGCGGTGACAAATAGTCTCCCGCTTGATTTCACAGTTCTCAGAAGGGCGACGAAAAACGCGAAGGCCAGGAACGATCTCCGCTCTCATCCCAGGAAGAGCACGCACCTGCCCTCGGTAAAGCATCTTATTACTGGTGTCGCTGTAGGAGAACAGAAACATGTTGATAAAGTGTATTAACAGGCTCGGGGCATCCTTTGACGTGTGAGCATCGTAGGCCGTCCACTTGTAGAAAATGAGAATAACGAGGTATCCAAACAGTGACGACATGAAAATCATTTCTGGGATAAATCCGAGGTATATGTTCAGCGGCTTCTTAAAATAGCTACGGGGGGAAAAGAGAGAGGTTGAAATTACATGTGGTTAGCATCGGTTTTAGTAAGAAGGTGAAGCGCATCGCTGGGACAGAACTAAGCGCCGCAGCAACAGCTGGGACAAGCTGACACCGCCCCGACGCGCGCTCCTGCGGACACGGCCGCGTCGCACCCTCCGGCCGAAGGCTCCCGCGTCTTCGACCTACACACACGGCACGCAGAGAAGCTCCCCCCAAAGAAAACCGGAGCAAAGCGCTTACATGTGGTTGAGAAGACTCAGCGTGACACCGAAGAGCATGTGGATAATGCCAAGGATCACAGACATTTTCATCTTGAAGGAATTGAGGAAGGCCAGCTTATTGCTGGCAATATTCCAGATCTGTGAAAAAGAACCCTGAGTCAGCCAAACCCGGAGTGAGAGAACAAGAGAGAGAAAGTGCCCGCTTTGAGCTAAACTGCGTGAGCCACGCCGGAAGCGCTGGGCTGCAAGAGCAGGGTTTACAGATGCGTGTCAGACGGATCTGCTGGGAAACGAGCCGGCCACCTCTTCTGCTGGAATCGTCTCACAGCAACTGACCCCCCAGCACGGCAGGAACCGAGCCTTGCTGTGTTTTTACAGTTGGCCAAAGTTACAGGAAAAAGGGGGCTGTACCCTTGACTGAAAAAAAATAGAATTATCCCTTTAAAGGCAGAATTACCCACAGCTCTGATTTTCTGCCCTTCCTCTTTACTGGGGAACACACACAAGTTTTGTATCGGGTATTGTGCGCGGCCCTAGGAGCGTGTTCCTGATGCGGGCAGATACGTGACAGGAGTGCTTGGAAACTCACATTTCCAAGGCTGACTGGAGAAAAAAAAAAAGGAGATAACTAACTTTCCCCAAAGTAAAAACAGCCACTTGATGAAGTGATTTGCAAGCCTTACCACACTCGATTAAAACACCGGAGGTTGGAAAGGGTGAGAGAGCCTTGAGCGGGCCTGAAAATCTCCCTGTCCTGAATCCAGTGTCCCAGTAGGAACTGAATTCATGTTCTTGTTCAGGAGCATTTCCAACATGGATAAAAGGGAATGGCTGAGGTGTGGAAGCCTTTCCCAGTCTACTGGGCAGGCACTTTTCTTTCTGTTGACACAGAGGATGTTCTTCAAGGACAGGAAAGGCAGGAAAAGCTCTTACCGGGTCAATGCCGAAGGGGTAGGGTCCACCGAACACCCCTGGAATGGCAGGGTTCAGCTGAAGCAGAGGAGTACTCTCGAGCAGGGCATCTCTGTTGGGGCAGAAGGCGAGTACAGAGATATTAACACATGCAATACTGTCCTCCTTCTGCACTAACTAACATTCTTCCCGTGTGAGAGCAAGAAATGTCTCGAACTGAAGAGAACTTGAAAGTTCCTGCGTGTTCCTAGAGATTTTCTGAACGAATAATAAACCTGTCTCTTGACTTGTCACTCAGTGTCACAGGAAGAAACACGCAGGGGACAGGAATTTTGCTGTCTGTGGGAGAAAGGTGCTAAGCTGCATCTTTACAAGTTTTCTGGAAAATAAAAAAGCAGCTGGTTTGACACTCGACAGACTGAGAGCCCTCTGCCCATTCCACCCGAACCAGAGTTCGGGAGCTTTTGTTTTCCTGAGCTGGGAGGACAAGGGGCAAAGAGACGTCACCCGCTTGTCGCTGTCCCCCTGTCAAGTTACCAACTATGTACTCACGACCAATTGCCTTTGGAGAACATGGGCCGGACGCTCCAGGACGAGCCGAACATGTTCAGGGACTTGGAGAAGCAGTCGTTGTAGATGAGGCCGGTGTACGTGGAGAACAGGCCCATCAGCAGGATGATGTACCGGCCACTAAACACCATGTTGAACATCTAGTGTGAGACAAACACACCCCGAAGAGGCACAAATGAGAACGAGGAAGGTCTCCCCCAGACAAAACAGGAAAATCAGGACAAACAGCGCTGGCCATATGGACTGAAAGCCCAAAGTCCCTATTTCCCGTGGCAGGGATTAAGGAGGTAGCGCAGCAGGACAGAATCGGAACACAGAGGCTAAGCAGCGTGCCTGCCCGCAGAGAGCCTGGGATTAGCTGCAGAGGATGAGCCGTGCTCCCAGCGCGGCCGCGAGCCCCAGCTCAGCATCGGTCTGGAACGAGGCGTCGCAGACACCGTTCGGCTCCCCGTGCTCTGTCCATGCGTTGTAACTCCCGTTCTCCTGCCGTCAACCCACGCCCCGAGCAACCAACACCCACCCTGACCAGCAACAGGGAGAGTCCTGGAGACGGGATATACACGTACAGCAACCAGGGGTTCTGCAGTGACCGAACCCCTTCACGAACCAAGTTTTGGGTGATTAGTTACAACAGCTTATCCACTACGTGTGGTAAACAGGTTCCTTTAAACAGCAGAAAGGAATAATTTCCTATCAATATCCGAAAGGAAAACCAAGGGAACTCACTACTAGCATGAAATTACGCTACTCAGCCTGTGGCCTGCAGACTTCCCAGTCCGTGCGCTTCACAGACTGCAAACCCAAGGAGTAAGGGGTGCCCCGGGGGGAAGGACGCGAGCAAAGCAAGCTGCAGCTGTTGTAAGTGCCAAGCTCAGCGCGACCTGTCACCATACCTCATTGTCACTCTTCTGTGACAGAATACGACTTTCCCGCAGCACCATCCAGACAGCGATCAGCGTCATCAGGATCCCATGGCCAAAATCTCCGAACATCACGGCGAACAGGAACGGGAAGGTAATGATCGTGTAGGGGAGAGAGGGAGAGGCCGTTCGCGGGGAGCCGAGACCTACCACAGCAGAGCTGCCGCTGCTTAACAATCCAGCTCCCACCCAGCTTCGGAGAGGTGCCGAATCCTCTATCAGAAACACGGCGACTCAAGAGGTGAGCTGGACAGGCTCTGCGTGACTTTACCTGGATTTATTTCCCGGTAAGTTCCAATGCCGTAAGCATCAACGATGTTTTGAAAGCCAGAAGTGAACTTGTTCGTTTTATTGTACGTTGGGGGGGTCTGACTGGTCTGCATCCTGTTTAAAATAGACGGAACAGTGGATCCGCTGTGCTCCTGCGGGGGAAAAAAGCAGATCAGAAAGCCCATCCTCGGAGCACTGGAGGCCAGAGTACGACACCGCTTCCTCGCTGGCGTCGGGAAAGCCGCAAGCTTGCGTTTTTGCAGCGTGCTTGCACCAGGAGGAAATGCACTTGGGCAGCTGAGGACGGCTGCCAAGCATGCCCTGCTCTGCACTTCGCAGCGCGGGAGGGTGAACACTGATTAGGACGGACAAGAAAACTCATGCAAGAGTTCGACTGTTTTTGTTAAAACGGCAGATGGAAGGACTTTGTGACGCCCCACCCCGTTATCCGGCCGAGCAGAGGGCGAGCTTGCTCGTGTCACAGACAGCTCCTCCGGTGAGTTCCACTGGATACCCAAACAGCAGGACTACACAGCACAGCCGGGTTAACCGGATGTGCCGAAGGACTCGCTGCCTCACCACCGCAGCATTTTCCTGAACAGAGCGCTTTACACCACGTATTTGTTACAAACTTTAGCTACAAGCCACGATTCCTGCACCTTCAATGAACCGTCCTCTGTGGGGACTGGTTCTCACAGCCCAAAGGGATGGAATTCAGAGACTGGCAGGTCGGAAGGATCAACAAATCCAGGCTTTGTGCCCGCAGAGCGGACAGGAGCAGCAGGTACTCACAGTGCCTCTCCGGAGAGCAAACTGGATAGAATCGAGGTCAGCCACAGGACACCAGACCTCGGCGATCAAGCACTTCTGCGTCACGTCGATGTTGCAGAGGTTCAGGGTGTGGTAGATGGCCTTCATCTTGCGCACTTTGATGAACCAGACCCGGATGTTTTTGGCGGCTGCCTGCAGAACCCTTTGGCGATGGTCCTCGGTTTGGTTCAGCACCTTGCACAGAGAAGCAGGATACAGATGAGGCAAAGCCATCGCCCAAAACTCGCGGCACAGAGAGGCGCGGAGCAAGCCTTTCCCACCCCAGGAGGGAGGGAGAGAGGGCGGGAGGTGTGGATGGATGGAGGGAGGGATGGGTGAACCCTCACCCCCAGGCCCAAGGCTGCCTCATGCCTGCAACATGTGCTTGAGTCTCCGTATCAATTAGCTCTGCTAAAAGGGTTTAAGGCTTCTGTCCAGGGATACTTTCCGACTTCCCTCCTCCAGCTCCAAGGCCAGTGGATATTCCAAACAATGAACCGTTTGGAGATCAGAGAGAACATTTTTTCCTCCGCCCAGGTTAAAAGAGCAGAGCTGTACAAGCGAGGGGTACACGGCCCCAAGAAAACACACAAAGGTTACAGGGAAAGGCTCTTACTGAAGGGAAAAGGAGAAAGTGTTTTCCACCGAGGGTGTTTCCCAACTGGAACATAACTGACTCGGGCCAAGTCAGATTTCCACACTGGAAAATCTTAGACTCCAGGGAAAGGGAGGACAGGGGCACATGCAGCTTTGAATCCTACTAGTTAAATTGCTCCCAAGTTCTCTCCTACTTTACAACTGCCACGCAGCTTCTCTACACAACTTACAGCTTGAGGCAGCTTCCAGATCAAACCAACAGTCCGGATTCAACCCCTTTTCCTTTTAGTTTCTGAACATTTTCTTATGTTTTGTCTCAAATCCCTTATTTTTCTCTGCATTATAACACTGCCTTTCTTCCTTCAGGCAAGCAGAAAATATTTCAGAGCCGGCCCCAGCAGATTTGTGTGCTGGTGCCTTGTCACCGACAGCCAGGCTGCTGCACAAGAGACGAGCTGTGAAGCAGAAGCTCTTCAGGCCAGCACAAGGTGAGAACATGGAGACAGGCAGAAAAGAGAATGGCTAAATCGAAGTTAGTGTCGCTCCCTCGACTTGGAAGTGAGTTTAAGTGTTTGCAAAGCTGGCAGATGAAACAGGCAGCTACAGAGTCATGCCCTCGGCTGGAAAACATGCTGTCCTCACACACGTACTGCTCTCTACTCGCTGGCACGCAGTTCTCTATCGATGTTGGGTTTACAGGTATAGAATTAACTGCCCAGCCCTCCAGAAAGCTCAAACCACCCCAAAACTAAACCCCGGCAGGGAAAACAGCTGAGCAGTCTATAAACATCTTGCACTGCTGAGCTGCTGCTCTCAAGCTACCCAGAGCTGAGAATAGAGTCATCTAACAGGGCCAAAAATTCTCCTGTTTTAATAGGATCCAGAGATGTTTTCAGCTGTATTATTAAAGAGAAAAGAAAAAAGGGCATTAACCCCAGTTATTTTACCATCTGAAGATCATCGATTCTGGTATTGACACCAGAAGCCATTTCCTTCCGCTCCTGGGGAGTTTCTGGGCAGGGGTAGAGGGAGGCACGGAATCTGAAAGACATGCAAGCCATCTCAGTGACGAGGACGGAAAGGAGACAAACGAGTCAGGGCAACAGACGGCTGAACGCAGAAATAAAGCGAGAAGCACCTCGGGAGGTTTGTGACCAGCGAAGGCAGCCAAGCAGAGATTCACTCTGAGTCAGGTGCGTACCCAAGTTCGCTTTAGGCCAAACCAGAAGCCGAACGCTTAAGAAAACGGAAGCGGGAGAAAATCCCCTGTTCCCTGCACCGACAGTGCCTCTGAGGCACTGTCCCGAGGTGGAGCGGCCACCCCAGTTCCGGGTGCTGCGACCATGCCAGCGCAGCTGCTGCGGAAGCTGTCGCTGCGGGTCTAAACGGGGAGGGTATCGCCCACTGACACCCCGCTGGGTCCCAGCGTTCAGCTCGTGAACTCGCCCGCTTTTAGGGCATTCCCAAGCAAAGCAGTCATCTTTGGGCATCACACGCTTAGGGAGCAGCTACTCTGACCACAAGACATGTTTCAGCCACTTAGGGTGCATTTTCTTTGCTGGCAGTGTGTGCTCCCACAGCCACTGTCAAACAAGGAGCTGGAAAGTGTCGGTGTGAAGTCACGCCCATGTGTTTCACACGAACACTGGAGAGGACAGCATACATACAGTCCCAGGGGACAGTGCAATACAGTCCAGCTGTAGGACTTCCATACCCTTCGCATATCTTCTTGACTCTGTTCTTCAGCTGGTCACCTTGGAAAAAGATGATGAACACAGACTTGTGCACATAATCCCCCTAAAACAGAAGAAAGAGTGGGCTCCAGCAGCTGGGCTAGTCACAGAAATCGGCGTTACAGCAGAGTCCTGCTCCTCCTCCCTCCCAGTTGGCACGTACACAGCTCACTGGGACAGGTTGCCCAGGGAAGCTGGGGATGCCCCATCCCTGGGAGTGTCCAAGGCCAGGCTGGATGAGGCTTGGAGCAACCTGGACTATGGAAGGTGTCCCTGCCCATGGCAGGGGGGGGCACTGGGTGGGCATTGATGTCCCTTCCAACCCAAACCAGTCTGGGATTCTATGTGTGCACAGCGAGGCAAGAATGTACCTTAACACCACAAACAGTCACGAGGGAGGCAGCTTTCTTAGCCTCAGTATAGAGCACCCCTGCTGCACCTGTGTCTACCGAGGCCAAGTGTTCCAGATCATCTGTGCTACGTGACACAGCCATTAAACCCAGTAAGGTCTCCACGAGAGCAGATGCAATGAAGTATTTATCAGCACTTCCTGCAGGCAGCTCACCTACAGAATCAAGCAAAAAGCTAAAGAGTGAATGAAAATCAGACAAAGTGGAGGTTAACAGCCTCGATCCTCCAGGGAAGCCAACGGCACATTCCTTGCACAGCTGTTTTCGTGTCGGTGGCCAGGTCCCCTTTCCTGCATTTGTGAACAAGTCATTGTTCTGTTACTTAGGAAATTTTAACATAATGTTTCAAGAATAATTGCACTAGGTGTAACCTCTGTTTAAGGAAGTGTTGCACAATAAGAACAAAGTCTCTCCCAGCAGACAGATAATTGAACAGGTCAACTACCAGCAGCTGGTGGGGCAGGAGAACAGGTCATCCATACAGGAGGAAGGAGTCACTGAATTTCGACTCCTCCGTCGCTGCAGCGCAGCCCACACACAGCCTTTCCTCCGCTGGGTAAGGGCAAGAGTTCCCGGAGTTTGGGCACTGCCCCTCCATTTCAGCAACGGCGACACGGAATGCAAACCAGGCTCCGTCATGTCGACTGTATCTGTGATACAGCTGGACATACAGCCATCCGGTGGAAGTTCCAATCACTGGTCAGCAAACCAGGAAAATGGAAGGCCCAAGTTCAGAGCAAACAAGCTAGAGTTACACGCTGCTGGTGTCCAGGAGCCGCTGTCTAGGAGGGTTACCACTCACTCAGAACTGCACACAGCAGTCGTACTTGTTTGTGCCAGAAAAGTGACTATGCCCTGCTGCAGTCCAAATTTTCAGTTGTTTTTCACAGAATCTCAGAC